AATCAAAAACCCTAATGATTCTACAGTGGCAGCCAAACTCCAAGGTTGGGGGGGGGGACAATAATTCGTCACCACCAGGATTTGGCGATTGGCTACCCTCGTCTCCAGTCGCCCTTTAAAAGGGGGAGTATATAAGGTATTTTCTCCGGTCTTCCTGCATGTCTTCGTGGTGTAACGGTAGCACACTCGATGCGTATTCGAGACATCCAGGTTCGATTCCCGGGCAGGGCACTGCACATTTTCACGTCTCCTGCTTCGAAATAATCTAATGACTATACAATTCTTTCCGTTAATATCAATATGTAATAGTAGGATTTTGAGTGTCATTTTATTTGCAACATATAGAGCATATATCTAAGCTAATTTAATGGGTTTTTTATGCAAAAAATTTTCATATGCTACGTTTTATACTATATTTCAATGTATAAGTAACATTTAAAGTAAATGAAAATTTAAAAAGTCTTAAAGAATGGCTTTATTTAGATTTGCTATGCTCAGTACAGCATTACTACAATACAGTAATCTGGGAATAATACAGTTATTTGTCACCTTTATTTATTTTATTATTTGTGTAGATTTCTTTCATTTGAATGCTTCACATGGAACTATGTAACAGTTCAGTAGCAAATTTTCTGTCTACGGATACATCCCCCGCAAGAAAACAATAAGTTTGTTATTATACCACATACACAGTTTTTTTAGCAATCGATTTTAATTCCATATAAAAGCAGTTATTACTAGTAATATTAATTTGGACGTTTTAAGAATTTAATTGGTAAAATAAAGAAATTAATTTCTTTAAGAGTCTTAAGAAACTGATTTTGCACTCAGAATCATTTATTTATCTAGATGATTCACTTATGCATCTTCGAAGTTTTAATTATTACACTTTTTGTGCAAATTTTGCATACATTTCGATTTAAGTAATTAACTTAAGACCATATCTGTTCTGCGGAAGTTACTTTACCAAATCAATTATGCGTAATTATTTTCAATAAATTTGTATTTGATTGGCATACTCAAACGAACATTTGTTTTATAAATTTGATCAGAAAGTAGGAAGAAAAGCAAATGTGTTGCTTACAGAATACTTAAATGCAATCAGATTACCCTATCAAAACAATGACGCTTGTTACCTGTAAACAAAAGAAAATAATTAACTTGGGAAAAGAAACATGCAAGAACATCCCCTGTAAGATTAATACTGCCAATAATGTTGTTGAAAGATATTTATAAATATACTTTCCACGAAGTCCTATGTCTGATCAGCTGCCTAACAGCAGCTACTTATCTGATGCATCTAAATGCAACTTATATTTTTACTGGAGAGGTACTCATCGGTGTAAAGATGTTCTTTCCTCTTCTAAGCAACGTATTCGTCCGATGCCAGAGCATTGCTGTGTAAACACTCATTGTTGTTAGGAAATAGGATTCAATGGCTGCTTGTTTTTAAGCAGAAAATCAGTTGAGTGACAGTAGCACTCTCTTAAACAGTTGTGTTTATTCAGCCTTACTGCCATCGCGTTGTTACCGGTGCTTTTGCGCGAGTTTAGTGTAAAGATAAGAGAGCTATTTTAGTGTTTATTTGCTTTCTGTGTAGTTGTGTCAAAGCGAGGTTTACCCTCTCGAAAAAATAGGCATTCACCAGTCAATATATGCAGCAATCTCTTCCGTGAAGAATTTTATCAGATAACTAATGCAAGACTTTCAGTGTCAAATTTTGTGTATTTTTTAACTCTCATTGCAATCTGTTATCGACAGAAATTCCTGGAATTTGTGTGGTTGGCTGCCAAAGCCTCGGTCTTGACAACTTACTTCATTTCCAATTAAAGTGAAACTTTCTGCTGTGTTTTGAAATGAGAAAGAATAAGTAATTTTTGGTTGAATAAAGAGTAACAGCATTTTTATGATGCATATAATAAATATGGGCTGCAATACCACTGAAGCAGTTTTCAAACTTTTATCAGTAAATCTACCTTTTTTTATCGGTTGCACGGTAAGATTATGTATCAATATGATTCATTTATATTTTGTTAATTCTGTAAACGGTCGATTCAAAAACTTATTTGATACACTGCTAGCATTATAACCAACGAAACTTTATTCTGTAACTTTGTATTGCTGTGAAGCGTTAATTTATTTTGCATTGTTGATATACTGAAATTCATGCTTGGCGAAGTAACCAGTCTAGACATAGATTTCGTAAAACTACGATTAACGAAGAAATTCGTACAGTTACTTATGTATAAGAAGAGCAAAACAGTTGCTACTGAATTAGAAAAAAATAATACCATATTTACTCGCCTAATAGTCGCAGGCCCGTTTTAAAGCAGAAAAAATTGTCAAAAGTGTGTAATACTGTGTAGTAAACTTTCCCGTATAATAGTCGCATCTTAGACCTTTCACGATGAAAAACTGGCCAAAAAAAGTGCGACTATTACGGGAGTAAATACAGTATGTGATACGGATTCCGAAAATTTTCTAGGCGTTTCTCCATCCATATTTACTGCCATGTTATTAATCAAAGAAAAAAATTCAGATTCTATGAAACAGCAAAACCGCTGCATCCCATCAAAAATCCGCTATAATAAATAAATGAATAAAATCAAATATTCCTTTGAAAAAGTATCTGGAGTATTTGAAACAGTAGAAAAGAATGCAAAATATATTAAAATAACATACGATTTTCTAATGACAGCCAGTGTCGTACATTCGAGAACTTTCTCAGTTGCTGGCTTATTTCTTACATAAATTAGATTTTTAGTTAAAAGTATACAGTGTGGGCAAATTAGGCTTGCTGTGTGTCTATTTTTCAGAATATGAGTTTATAAATAAAAGTACTTAATTTACACACAGAGTTGAAGAACTTTCACAGTGCACGAAATAGAAAATATTTTTCAATATTTCAAATGCTGATGACATAGTCTTATGTGTAAATAATTTGCCACCATATCAGAAGTTATTTTGCGTAAATAAATGCTACATGATTTCATATTTTGTGTTCAGAATGCTATTTGTTTTCTTACATTTTTTGTAATACCTGCTAAGTTTTGAATAAGCGTCTATTTTGAGTGTTATTTCTTCTTATGCTTTCAATTCAGTTTTTTGGGACGAAGTCATACCAGTAGATTAAAAGTTAATCGATTTTAATTTGCAGTTTTATCGAATTACCTGTCGTTAAAAATTTTGTCAAGCTTACGATCTCTTAATATATAAATCTGCAAAGATAAAGTAAAGGAATATTAAGTACTTATAACTACATACTGACAATAATTTCTTACATTTAAAAATACTTACTATCTTTATAATCTTTATAAACCTAAAAAATAATAAACAATATATTTTGTTTTTATTTAATTTCTGTATACATGTATTAAATAGTTTCCTTCGTATTAATTTATATGGATGAAGCAACAATCCATTTTATTTTTAACTGAATATTCATGATGTTCACAACCTTCTTTTGCCTAAAAATGGTAAAATGATCTATCTTTTAATTAGTCTCTCTACATACAATAAATATAGTATTTTCTTTAGATTAAAAATTGTATAAATAATACAATAATTCTTTTTTTTTTTTTTTTTTTTAGTTGATCATAAGTACTGTTTCATTCTCTACTTTTTGCTTAAAAATCAGACTAAGTGTAATAATAATATAATTTGTTTTTATTTATCTCTTTTCCTTTATTTATTAATTGCTGTTTACGGAACGTTAGGCAAATATTAAAACTACCCACTCTGTAATTATTATTTTTTTCTCTTTGTACATTTAATATCTGTTTAACAAAGTATTCAAAGGTACAATAATTGCTTTAATATTTTCTTTCTCTCTCTGTATGTATTACAGCCTTCTGCTTAAATTACGAAAATGAAGCAATAATCTCCCTTCCCAGTTCTTTTTTTTTTTTTTTTTTTTTTTTTTTGTGTGTGTGTGTGTGTGTGTGTGTGTGTGTGTGTGTGTGTTGTTGTTAGTTTGTCATTATATTTTTATTTTATGGGCAACGAAAGTTTTCATTTATTGCCAAGGGGGTGTGCTCTAGGTAAAATTTCTTCCAGTTGACAGAACATACTTGTATTAATATTTCAACTAAAATGTAAATGTATCATAAAGACTTAAAAACTAAATAGCAACTTAAATAATGAAATTTTAACTGCTTACTGGAAGATTCACACTTCGAAAACCGGCAAACAGTTGATTTATCAATTTCTAGCTTTGAAAGCTGAATGGTCTCAACAAAAGACTATATAAAAGTAATCAACTCGAATTTATAAATTATGTACTGCTAAGAAAGAAAACAATGCTATAATAACAAATTACTTTTATACTTGATGAAACATCTCCCAGATGAAAAGATCTACTAATTTATTACCAAAAATATCATAATTATCCAGAATTCAAGAGACAAAGCTATTAAACAATTTTCAATAAAAGTAATTTGATTCAAGAGACAAAGCTATTAAACTATTCTCAATAAAAGTAATTTGATAAGATTCTGAAAAATAGCACTGAATCCGCACAATGGAAACTCACTGAAATCCAAATAAAGATGAACTTTCTCGTACAAGATAAAGAAGTTGCATTAACCTATAAGGTATTTTTTCCCGCATTATTAGAGTATCTTCGTGGTGTAGTGGTTCTGCACGCTGGGCCGGTATTCCAGAGGTCTGTGGTTCGATTCCCCGGCGGAGGAGATTGCTAATTTTTCATCTGTCCAGTTTTTCCAATTAACTTAATATCTCTACAAACCCATCAGATTTTAATAACCATTTTCCTCATATTACTAACATCTCGTGACTTTTAATATTTTAACATCTTCAAAAAGTCGTGACTATGGATACATTTCTCCAGATTTTCTGTCGATATTGCCAAAGTACAAAGCAGACATATTTACAACACTTTAGCACGATGAAGCGATTATCAATGTAATGTATAAATAAATATTTATAGGCATTTATGAAAATGCACATGGAAAGTAACATTCTTTTTTTTTTAATTTCAGATTCCTCTCGGGACCACCTGAGTATGTTCAACAACCGACAACAACCAAAGAAAAAGCGGAAATCCCGCACTGCTTTCACTAACCACCAAATCTTCGAGCTGGAGAAAAGGTTCCTCTACCAAAAATACCTCTCCCCCGCCGATAGGGACGAGATCGCCCAGTCACTTGGTCTTACTAACGCCCAGGTCATCACATGGTTCCAAAATAGGAGGGCGAAGCTTAAACGAGACATGGAAGAATTGAAGAAAGATGTCGAACACGCCAAAGTGACAGGCGCCTCCAAACACATCATTGAGAACATTCATGACTTGAGACTCCTCAAGAAGTCCAAGGATGGAAAGATCCTGTGCACTATGATGCCCTAACTACCACCGAGGTTCTAGATCTTTGCAAGCAATGACTTTACACAGGATAACATAAGATTGATAGATCATGTAAAAAGACACACAGTTTCTATACATTTTAAAATTATTTGTTATTATTTAAAAAAATTTAAGAGAATTAAGATCGCTTGCCATGAATAGTAACTTTATTTATGAATTTATTTATTGGCTTAAGCTGGCTATGGGATACTTTCTTCGTACTCGAGTATACACTTTTTCTTCAGTGTCTAATAATTTTGAAATTTAAGGAATTTCCTGCCAGTTAGAAACAATTTTAACGGGCTTCATTTAGATTTTTGTTTTTAGGTACTCATCAATAATGCTCAAAATTACAATAATTTAATTAGTATACAATCTCGCTGCATTCAAGTGTTAGGCGTATTGTTCATCTCTTTGGTAAGAAACAATGCGAGTAAGCAATTTATATTGATAGTGAAGCTTTATAATTAATTTAAACTATTCATTTAAATTTGATGTTTACTAATAAGGACCTCTTGTTCTTATCTTACGTATACGTGAAAATGAAAGTAAGATTATCATTTAATTTTTGGTTGATGAAAATGAAACAACAAATTTAAGATATGCATGCAAACAAAGAATTTGGATAATCGTAAAAGTGAATTAATATATTTTACTATAATCGGAGTCCCAAAAACTTATATTTATGAGGTATTTAATATTTCAATTTAACATCTTATTTATTTTGATTGTAAGTAAATGCTGTAGAAAGGAAAAAATGCTTTACACGTAATAAAACGTTTAGTTATATATTGATATTTTTCATTTCTCTACATTTCCCAACCCAACCCATAGCCGAACTGATATAAGCTATTTGATTATTCTTAAAAAGAATATCGTAAAGAATTGTAAAAATTTAGTAATGCAAAAGTAACGAATATATTTTTAAATAGGTGAAGCTGTAACTGTACACAATTTCTCATTCTTAAATTAAGTCTCAAACATTTTTGCTTTTGATAAATATTGATATTATATTCGTAATCACTACAGCCTCACAATTTACTTATTTTAATAATAAATTAGGAAAAAATAAATATGGCGTATAAGAAAAGAAAAAAAAATAAAGAGTTTGTAGATATATTAGAGTTTATATTTATAATACTACGCAGCAAAGAAACACATAAAATTAAAATTTAAGTTCAGTCACTTCTGAAATACATCAAAAATATTTCTAATTTTTAGAGTTATTAATGAATCTTTTTACATACGTATAAAAAGAAAACTGGAATGAAAACTGCTTTCGTGTAAAGATTTCTAAATAATATTTCACCTCGAAAATGCAGAAAATATCTCAGCCAGATTTCTTTCAAAAATAAGTAAACGAAACTGCCTATAAATTTCAAGCTTATCTTGATTCAAGTTTGTTGATATGTGCATCATCAATTAATGTTATTGCTGTATACTATGCGATTGCTGTATATGATAAGGACTATCTTTTATCAACTAAATATTTATTTATTCCTTTTAATGTATTAGTTGTCCCAACGGACAGTGCCAGTTCCGTCTGTGCGTCATCCTGTAAGGCAGTATAAAGAAAGTATTTTTTTAAGCGCAAGAGTGATTTAGTAAGATCCCTTTTTTTAAGACATGGAAAATAACCACATTTTCAGTATACTTCGCATATCATTAAAAATGTTTTAGAAATCAAACTCATGTTTCTTGTAGTGAATAGCTCAGATTTTCAGAATATGACTATTTGTTAACGAATACTCTTGTAAGTTGAAGAGAACAAACAAGACAATTTTTCATTGCTCTGTATTCAAGAGTAGAAATCAAATTGTTAAGAAACTGGTAGCAAACACTGGTAATAAATAAATCACCAAAACAATTTGGAAAGATGAACAAAGAAATTGAAGCATTTAGTTTTCCAGCTAACGCAGGTAACCCTCATATTCATTATGTCTCTTAAAAATGCAATCTGATGGAAATTCTTGTTACACGAAAAAACTGGTAGCACAAAATTTAGGGTTAAGTTCTAAAAACTGTAGCAGTACATAATTTCCTTCTTTTATAAATACCAGAAACATGCATATTAAAAGTATTAATAATTGCTCAGAAATGTTGTAAGTTAACATTAAAGGAAGTATGTTACTGTTCTCGTTTTCATTACTGTTGCACATCACTGAGTGAGAGCATCTAGTTTCTGTAAATTTTCATAACCATCCTATCATGAGGTACTTCATGCCATGCAGTTATAGCCCAAGCATTTCATTTGATTTAAATAGCTCATTTAATTTTTAAAACGTATAGTATATCCCGGTTTATCCGAATTAAATAGGGGGAGATGTTTTGAACAATGTCTTTTTTTAACTTGTTTAGTTAAAGATATATTTTATACTTGTTTTTATAAATAAATGGAAATGGCATTATTATTTATTCACGTCATTTTGATAGTAATCTTATTTTTAAGTATATTTTATTCAATATAAATTTTTTAAATTTTTGATTAAATCTTATGAAATAAGTAAAAATAGATTTATTATTAAGAAAAGAAAATTATTTTTTACTTTTATTATAATTAACATTTTTATTCACTAAATTAATGCCCGTTACGTAAAGTTTAAAAAGCAAGTGAAAAAAAAATAGTGGTATTGTAACTTGAGGTTAGAATATTTACTGCTATCTCCCAAAAGTAGAAATAAAGTAAACTGAAATTAAAATATTCTCTCAGAAAGTTTTGTAAATAATTATAATTTTGAGTTTCAAAAATCTCTTTCTGAAATATTGTCAAACTCCTTAGCATTCATTTTTAAATTTCTTCACAGAACGGCAAAATTTCTTTTGAAGTACATCGCAATTTTTTGAACGATTTATTCAAATATTTGGTTATTCCTTTTATTGTTAATTTATAACCCTCAGAGAAACTTTTAGATGAAACAAAACTGAATTGAAGTAAATCATCGATGAAAGAAGATACCTGAAAGTCATCTCTTGCAACACATTTCACTGTCATTATCCTTGCACACAAGATGCTGAGATAATTTGTTTGCATTGTAAAATGTATATTTATGTCTAATTAATGGGGCAATGAAGAAAATTATTTAAACAAAATGGCATACAGCTGATTTTTGGAAGCCATTCTTTCGATGTAATTTTACCCCCTTTCCACTAATTAAAGCTCATTCAACCGAGGTTTTAGTACTATTAAATTCTTTGGTTTGGCCTTAAAGGAAAATTTTTACCTGTCAACATTCTATAGATGGATTAGAAAAAGTGAAATTGTGTTGTAAAAATTTCAGGTTTAAGGCAGCTTCCTTTGAATTCTCATCGTGCGTGAACGGAAATGTATTATGAGTCGGTGCTTTTTAATATGTTAAGAACTAAGTCATTGATTTAAGGTATGTGTTATAAAACTAGTTACGTAAGGCGAAAGTGTGCGTAAGGGTGAACACACGCACATATACATATGTATATAAGCATTTAATCTCTTATCTTGTTCAAAGCATAGATGCTTTTATAATTCTTATCCAAATGAATATTCATAGATAGTTAACATCTCTTCATTCGGAAGACTGGTGTTTGAGGCATTCCATATTTATGAATAAGCCACTTCTTTGAAGATTAATTCATTGCATGTTTGGACACTTTCACATTTAGTTTTTTACAATCATGTGTAAATATAAGAGGACTTTTGGGCCTGTGAACTCAATATATCTTTTTGTATACTTACCTGAGTCTACATATCACATACTTCTCATGCAGTTTTTAGTAAAAGAGATAATTGAAAATTTTCTAGAGATTGTCTAAAATTTCATTATATAATTTTAATACCGTTATCATAGATTTGCAAACTAAAAAATTGTAAAATTTTATATCAAGAAAATTTTGAAAAAATTTATTGAGTATAAAAATTATCATAATAATGATATGCGAAGAATACTGAAATTGAAACTAGAAAAATTTAAATGTATTTCATTTTATTAAAGTATTAGCATTTTTATCTTAAGAAACATAATGTACTTTATTTATTAAAAAATTTTTAATTTTAGCTCGATTTAATAATTTTGATATAGCCTTTCCTTAAATTTGCAGTTTTATTTAAACAGTAATAAAATTAATGGAGAAAAACATCATTAAGACAAATGCATTGGTCAAAGTATTTATGCCTATTTATATAGATGTGTTGCCTTCCATGCAGGCGAAATTTGAGTTTTACTTTATTAACTATGAGCTTGTTCTAATTTATTTTTCAGTCATTTCCTCTAACTCGAACATGTACTGTACTACTTGTCATTATGCATTTAAATTATCAAATAATTAAAAAAATATATAAATTAAAAACTAATGTTATTTAATATGTATGTAATAAATTGAAGCACAATTAATAATTTTCTTAACTAAGAGTTCAGAGCAAGCTTTTCAGAAATAAATGCAAACCCCGTGAAAAAAGAAAACTGGTCTAACTAAAAAGATGTTGAAATTATACAATAATTGCAAATTCTAATGAATATGAAGAAACTAAACTTAATTAATGATCATATTTATAACTAAATCCTGGATTCATAATGATTATTGTACCGCATTTGTGTAGAAAGGGTATAAAACGATAGATGCCATCCATATATAAAAGATTGTCTATAGCAGTTTATTTACAAAAAATTTTGTAAATTAAAATGACGTAGTATGAAGTTGTTCCAAATGATGTCAGCTATATTTGTGTCATATTGGTAAGGTAGCTGTATGTATATAAGATATACGTTTGCGTGTAAATAAACTCTTTAAACTATTGAATTTCTTTTATTTTGTTTAGACATTTGTTTTCCTTGATAAGTTTGAGAAAAAATGCAGGGGAAAAAAGATACATATGGTATATATTTATATGCATAAACTGGTAGTTATTACAAAAGACACATGTATGGTCACACATATATGCTAAAGTTACACAACTGTTCTTAAGAACAAAACACCTAAAAGAAATGTCGCTGCAACTTTTATTCTTTTTTCAGGATGTAAGTAACTAGTAGTAATAGTGGCTGTCGGGGAGACAGAAAAGTAAATACACTGGAAATAAGCTGTAGTAAATATATATATATGTCAAATCTTTCTAAATGGCATTATGAATATTCGTAATTAAAACCTTAGGGCAAAATCTAAAACTTATCTGATGATTCAGTTTCAAACACATCTAATGAAATGATTAAATAAATTTAGGATATAATCTGTTAATTGACTTCATTTTAATTATATATAGGAACTAAGTTACTATTTTTATGCCAAAAATCTGCTAAATAAACAGTTTAAAAGTAATTTCTCTACCTCTAGCGCAGTTTCTTAGCAGCTTTCCCTATTTGACGCCCATTATTTTTTCCAGAGGAATACACATTGATTAAAAAATTCCCATAATACTTTTCATTCCACTATTATAACCAAACTATCATAAACAAAAGACTCATCTGACCTTTTTAAACAGTTTTAATTAACAAAACACACTTAAGATAAAACATTACAATTAAGGGCATTATAATTGCACATTTAAATTATAAAGTAAATCTCGGGGAAACAGCATGCTTAATTCATGACTCCAGTACACCGACTGAAGGCTAGAGTCTTTCTTTGGCCGGTGTTTCTTCCGGCGGTTGCTAGGTGGCGCTCATTGAGCCGTGGGGTTGTACTATTTTATTTAATTGAAAAGAAAAATAGCAGCAGAAAGAAAAAAAAAAAAAAAAAATTCTTCATGCTTTTGCTGAGAACATTGCGACATTTTTTCATCTACATTTCATCTATCTTCATTCATCTATCTATTTCATCTATTTTTTCATGTATCTTTTTAAATTGGTTGATAGTTTTAATATAAAAATGAGTTAGGACTCCATTTTTATATTAAAACAGTTCACTGATGTCCTAAACTCCTTAATTTGCTCAGAAGTAAATGCTTTTTCTTTTATCTAAAAAGTGATCTATATATCGTAAAAAAGTTTATATACCTTGTACAGTTGCGCGCCTCCAACCTGAACGCAACCAAGTGGTGACAGCTGAAACTGGAAATTAGACAGAGTCCTGCGAAGTCCCTTTTTATTCAACTTTAGAAATTACAAATGCGTGCTCTTGACGCTCACAAACTACGCCGACCCGGCGGTTAAAATAAAAAATAAGAACCTGAAAAGAAATAATAACAAGAGACTAACTACGAGGCTCTCTAAACGTAACTAACCTCACCGCGTTTTACAATACCGCTGCTAATTCAGCAAACTTTGAATATCACGTTGAACGATTAACAATTGGCCGAGACAAGCACACAGGCCGAAACGCGTGGTTCTTCAATTTCTGGCTAACTACCTCCGCGCTCGTGAAGTAAGAACAGCACCTCTCGAACTCGTTTCCTTTCTATTTAACTCAGAATACTTCCGCTGATAATTTGAATCCTTGCGCGTTCTACTAAAATTTACATACTCTGGCATTGGCACTTCCAGGGGAAAGTAAGGCTTGACAGGAAAGATAGTTTAAACTTTAAATGTTAGTTAAAATAAATATAAACCTTACAACATAAAGGACATGTTTTTCTGATCACAAAGCAATAACAACGAGAATTATGTTTTCGTGTTTATAAAAAACACACATTAATTTAAAAATTGCAAAATAGTTCTTAATTTTCTCGGAAGACAGCTTTCGGTTCAGAAACTCATTTAGCACTCTTAAAATAGCATAAATA